TAAAAAAACCCCAAAACACCACCTTCCCCCCTCCCCAGGAAAACCCAAGCTCAAGCCCCTAAAACTCATCACCAAACCCCCTCAATTTTGTCTTTCCTCCCCCGCCATCGTTAAGCAGCTATACTTTATCCTGTTTAGAATGATACCTTTTATAGCTTGACTTCGACTTTCTTTGAGCTGTGAATTGTGTTACTGCCCTTCCAGTTACATTTGTCGTTCCTTGCCGGTCAGTTTGTGCTGCAGACAGGGGTGTGTTGCACTGTGTTGCAAGCAGACCTGAGTTTCTGTATAGAGCTGGTTGGTTCAGTGCATGATTAACTCTGGCACAGGACCACAGGAAATGTTAGTGTAGTTTGAGGAAGCATAGTGTGTACTCTTCCCTTCACGCAAGTTCAATATAGCTGTTTGTGTTGACAGAATGAAATGAATAAGGAGGTTGGAGATGGTCTAATCTAACCTTACAATGACACGAGGGCCAGCTTTGAAGCACAAAGTCTTCAGTAGTTGAATTTTTTCCATATATCTCCAGGGAACCTCCCAGACAAGTAACACCGCAGTCCTTTTCTGCACATTGAACCCTGATGTCTGCTGTTAGTCACAGGTGCAATATTTCTGCATTTGGCTTTGTTGACTTCTTAAAGGATTTTAAGAAACAACATGATAGCATAAAGCTTTACTTTATTCTTAAATACAGCAGAGGAACGAAGTCTCCGAGTGCATCTGAAGAGTCAATAGGTGGTTAAGATGATTATGGAGAGTCTCATGGCAATACTGTTCTGGATGAAGTTTTCCTACTGAAGTGTTGCAGGAAGTTGTTGTCTTAGGAAAAACTTGATAATGTGAACGGTTATAAATCATCATGGCCAGAGAGTTATCTTACCTGTGAATTCTTCAAGGGCCTAGCAATAGTACTTCTGTGCTGCTAACTCCGTGTACGTGTAATTCATGTAGTACCAAAATGATAGAAAGCCACATTTCCTGCACCAGTTTCTGAAGGGCTCAGGTAACTGCAGATGAGTAAGTCAAACTTCAGTTAGGCAGATTGGTTGAGCACGTAACAGAGGAGTAAGACACGTGGACAAACATGATAATGGTCAGGCATTAACAGGGCTTTTCTAGAGGGAGGGGAAAAGGAAAGTGAATTTAATGTCTTTTCAAAGTCATGCTTTGGAAGAGTCAACAACCATGTGGATAAGGGTTATCTAATCAGTGCCATGTCCTTGCATTTCTTAAAAATAACAAAAACCCCTTGGCTATCAAGGTCCTTGATCAGCCTGTTAAAGAAACTGAGATATCAGAATGGGACAGTCATCCCATGGATTAATAACTGGTGAAAACCAAACTAGATACGGTAAGAGCCCCAAGTGGAGCTGTTGGTTCTCTAGAAGATCGTGGAGTTATGGTAGGATGTGTCATTCAAATGTTGTGTTGGTGTTTTGTGGGGAACAAGCACATTGAATTCTGAAAATTGTTTGGAGTTCTATAACAGCATATGGCATTCCTTTGTCATGTACAATGTGTCCATCTGTGTACTCTGCAAAAATAAATCTCAGAGGGCAGGAGAACTAGAAGGTGTATGGGCAAGAAGAACCATCAGATGTAAGGAAAGGTGATCAAATAAATAAGGTGTTTTAACACTCGAAAGCACTTACAACTCTAATTTTATACGGGAATTATAATCTTTAGATTGTTTTGATGTTTTTAAAGCAGTGAGGAGGAGGTTAAAAAAGACCTGTTAAACTCCAGGAAGCTGAGAAGAAGATACGCAAGCACTAATAGCCAAGGTAGTTTATATTGCTTTGCTGTGTTCTGCACAGAGGAAGAACACACACAAAACAGGCTGTGCTAGTGATGGGTGTACTTGAAGGGACAGGAAGGAATAACAGACCTCTATTACAAACTGGATAGCTGCTGACTTTCTGGAAGAATACTGGAAAGGTGGTTAATAATGGAAGAATACAGGCTGCTGCATGCAGGTTCGGGGACTGAGAATAGGTTCTTGTGTGAAGCTATTGGTCTGATGTGGTATAGTAATAGCAGGTAAGAAGTACAAGCCTTTTGGAAACCAAGGGCTTAAACAAGATTGGAGTTGTTTCAAACTCTCTGTGGACTACCTGAATGTGTAAGAGGGACGAAAGGCATGAAGGACTCATTAGGGCCCTTCCTGATGGAACTGTCATAAAAATGTTTGCTTATTGCTTCTGTATTGTATAACAGGGAAAAGGAAGAGGAATGGGAATTGTGCCAAGCCCTTCTGGCCTCATTGGCCCCTTTAAAAGTGATCTGAGGGAAAGAACTGCTGACCTCTGCCCTGACAACCACATGGCATATGTCTCCAGTATTTTAAGACTTGTCTGTCCCATTATTCTTTTATTGCAGTCAATCTTTGTTGCTTCTTTTCTTTGTTCTGTTTTGTTTTTAAACTGGCATGGAGCATCAAATTGCTCGGTACCTGGCTTGATATTTGGTAGTTGAATTTTTGTTTTACATGGCTTACCTATTGATGCTCATTGTGGATAGCTTATGAACAGAGAGAGAATAGCTTTACCTGAAGGGCTGGTCTACTGTGTTGCATGTATTTTGCTTTAAGACTTTTGTTCTGTAATTCCCTCCTTCAGCTGGGAGGGAATACATAGGGGAAAGTTGGGAATACTCTCTTGGAAAGGCTTGTGCTAGCCAAATTTTACCTCCTGGAGACCAGCATGTCTCAGAAGGGTATGTCCTATCCTGGAACATTAGGCATGTTTTTCAGGTGGTGCGGGAAAGATTTCAATTGCCACAAAGGATAGGGGTAGAAGAGGACAGAATTACGCGTTCTGTCAGATGCCCATTGCCTCTGCTACTCTGCTTGAGAGACAAATTGGGATACAAGAAGTTAAAACATGTTCATACTACACTACTGACCTGTAAGATTACATAGGAGAAAGTTTGAGAGAACATACTATGAATCTTAATTCCTTCTTTTGCTTCAAATGTGTGAATGTTACATTTATATTGACTCTCTATGCAGTTTAGAGCTAGTTTCTGTTAAAATGCATTGGTAGTATAGATGAAACTGGAATTGCTAAAATAATAACATGTGGCTGACCTGAAGCTATCTACTTGTATTTTAGGGGTTGTTTCTCTATTGGCTGTTCATCCTTCTACAGTAAATGCGCTTGGAAAACAGCTCCTGCCAAAAACATTCGGACAGTCTAATGTCAACATTGCACAACAAGTGGTAAGGAGACACTGTGGGGTTTTCTTATTGCTTATACTGTTGCTTACACATACTGTAGGTCTGATCTGTAGCTTGGTAGTTGGTACCACTTGTCATGGGCAGACAGTCTAAGCTTGTTTTTGATTTTAATAGACTTATGTTAAAACAAATGTTCTTTTGCATAAAGAAATGCAAAGATGACTCTCAAAGCAACATGCACATACCTGAATATTCAGGTGGCTTTATCTTTTGCTAGTCTTGCCAGTTAAAATCAGTGGCTCACTCAGACTCTGCTTGGAAATCTGGCATAGGGAAATGTAAGTAAAGTTCACCAGCACACGCTTATTGAGCCTGAAGTTTGGTGGAATGAAATTGAAAACAGAGCTGCTGTTCTTAGTGCCTAGTTTAGATAGCCTTTTGTTTAAATACTTAATGTGAGCTTTGAGTGAGGAACATGAAATTCAGAGGTTTCAAAGAATTAATAAAGCAATAAATAATATAAAGATTATGAGAAGTAAATTACAGTGATGAAAATTTAGTGATCTGAAAAGAGTTGATCTCAGTTTATCTTCTGGAAGGCGTCTGTAACATCTAAACATCTGAAATGGAATTTCTTATATTGGGGGTTCTTCTTGATAGGAAAGCAGTTTCCCATATGCCTTTCCCAACTCTAAGCTCTAAGAAGTGTTTTATAGTTGAGGCTGCCTGAATGTATAAACTGCTGCTTCAGCTCTACAAATGTAGTGCAAATCATTCACTGTGCTGTATTTCCAGCACTGGTGGTGAATTGACTACTTTCAGCAGCCACTTGGAAGTGTAGTGAAATGAATTTAACTGAATGAAGTTGTTCCTTCAGTAGGAGGTCTTTCATCAGTAAATTTCCAAATGAGGAAATTCGGAGTAGGTAGGCATTCTTGTAAGTTAAAATCAGTAACCAGCAGTAGGAAAAGAATATTTGAACTAGAGATCATAGGCCATAATGACACAGAGGGGGCCCCTTCTGGGCATTATTGTGAGGCTGTGTGCACACTTGAGTTTAATGTTCTTTCCAGTAACTGAGAAAATACTATCTTAAAGTACCAAAACAAGGGGATAACAATTAAATTACAAATCATCTGATGCTTTTTTGAACTTCAACGAGTAAATTAATTTTTACAACAATGTTGATATACCTATAAAATAAATTCTTGTGTCTTCCATCAAGTTTAAATTGACAAATCCTCATCTGTATTATATTATTCTGTGATTCTTTGGTATTATCTATGATTAATTTTACATGGTGCTGTTACTAAAAAAAGATGTGATTCTGAAATAACAAATACTCTTAATGGTGGCTTTGTTAGCATGATTACTGTGGGAAACTTACATTTGGCAATCACACTTTTCAGCACTTCCTTACTCAAAACATACTAGCATTAATTTTTTTGTGAAAGGAGGGGCCCATATCAGCATAATTGTATTGGCTGTTATCAGTACAAAATCAGATGCTTAGTTGTATGTCCTTAAAGAAGAGAGAGAGGCTTTGGCTTGTGTATACATAGAGAGAAATTTTGGGTAAATTTCTGTTGACTTTACAGTCCTTAAGGGGAGAGCCAGAACTATAAAAAAATTTTGCCTTTAGAACCCCGAAAACACAGCGGAGCTGAACTTCTGTCAGTGCTCAAAACGTTCTTGGGAAGCAGAGTTGAGGAGTTGGTTTGTGACCATGCTCAACTTTGTAACCTTTGAGTGGTAAACCCACATTTTTAATATTCAGGTGCTTCATTTTCTGAGCCTGTGTTCTTAGTTCAGGTAGTCTGATTTCTTTTTCTTAATATTGTCCCCATGTAAGTTTTTCTATTAAATGGAGTGTAAGGGTTGTCTTGCTGTTTTCCCTGTTGTCCTGAACTTGTTTATTATTGAGCAGCTAAACCGTAACCTTGTTCTCTTTTCAAATCAGGAAACTGAAAAGAAACCAGAAGCCCTTCTTTTTCTACAGCCCCCAGCCACCCCCTATTCTCTAAAACCATCCTCTCTAATTCTGTCTACAAGCATTAATTTTAGGATGTTCCCAGTGACTCTTTTTGTTCATGCTCTTTTCATTCAAAGTCATTGTTGCTTATGAACTTGAGAGTAAAAGTTAGAGGCATCAACTTTTCTATTAAGGAGCCAATAATACTAGGTAATTCCTTAGAAGATTGTGAAACTCCGGACTGTAGGGTCTTCCTTAATAGCGATACATTAAGGCCTGTAATTCTGGCTGGTTTGCAGACTTTTGGGAGTTAGAATGTGGAGCAGGCTTTGAATGTATTAAACAGTTCACTTTTCCACTCAAGAAATGAGCCTGTGAATTTGTACCTGCTTCCATTTGATCCTTTGTACTGCTGAACACTTCAGGATGCTATAGAGTGCAGTACATGTCCAGGGTTTGCTGCTGCCACATGGTTTATTTTCTTCTCTCCCCTGGCTTTCACGTTAACTGCAGTCATACAAATTCCAGATACAGCACCAAGGTGATGGTGGAGCTGCTTGTGGAATTAGAAAGCTAGGGAATAGAGTGAGACCCTCTAATTTTAGCCCTTGCAAGCAAGATGTTAATCATCTCTTCTAGTCCTCTGTAACTACATCTTGGGGAATAAAATTTGGCTAATAGCTTTCCTCTATTCTCTGTATTGTCAACATTACTTGAATAGCACACGGGTGGTTTTCACAATCTTTTGAGACGTGTGGTGAACCAGACCAGTCAGCAGCACTGACAGTATTTTTTTCATGAGGACAAAGTGAGCTGGTTCACATGTGTCCTGGGCCTGTTTGGCATCCCCCACCCTCATTCTCTTTCCCGTAATAAGAAGTTTCAGTTGTGGAAAGTAGTAGAGGAGATTAGTTGACTTTCCATAAGAATCAGAAACATTTTAAGTGTGGAAAAAAGCTACTGGAAAGAGGAGGAGGACCTGAGATTTTCCAGCTGTCAGAATAAGGTGTAGTGAACTTGTATGCTAACTACTCAGGTGGCATTACATAAAGAAACAGTAGTATGGGAAAAATCACAGGCAGCTGAAATCGGAAGCATCTAAAAAGCACTAGACTGCTTTTTGTATTTGCATTTAAAGGTTATTCAAATTTGGTTCATTTTAACTTGAATGCATAAAATATTTCATTTTGGGTTTTCAGGTTTTCTATTTTACTCTTTGAGGCTAAGGTATTGAAGGTAGCCTGAGGAAGAAACTTTTGTTGGTGAGGCATAACGTGGCTGCAGGAGAACATAGCGAGCTTGTGGGTGATTATGAGTTCAGGTTCATTTGATGTTTATTTCACTTGATGCCAGGGATGCAACATCCTGTTTCCAGTGGGAGGCAAACATACCCCACAATAGTTGTCATATCTTTCTACAAAATAGAAATCTGTACAGTATCATTTTGTTTTCCTAAAAACGTATTTTCTAGAAAGTTACATTTATAACATTTCAGAGATAGAAAACATCATCTGCAAAAGCGGGAGTTCTGCTTCAGCAAGTTTCAGTTAAGGCGAGCATGGCTCCATGTGCGAATGTATGTATTAATTTGTGAACAGAATAGCACATTTTCAGGACTCTTTACCTGTAAACTGGAAGACTGTGATCAGCTGAGCGTGTTCTCATAACATGTTCAGGATGGAATTGTTCTGCCTAAATTGGTCTCATTCACTGCAGTGAAGTTGGCCCTTATTCTTCCTCACCTCTTAACATTTTGGTTCTGACTCTGTAGTGATAAGAAACTTGACTGCAGGAGAGAATTTGGCCTTTCTGGCAGTATCTCTGCATTTTCTCTCTGCTTTTACTGATTTTCAGATCTTACTTCCTATATTCACTGCAACTTCTTTATATGTAGTCTTGTAGGATTTGCGTTTTTTCACCCTACCTTTATCCCTTTTTCTACTGGGGAAGAGGGCATGTGTTTGTTGATCTTGTCAAAGTTAGTGTTGAATAGTGTGAAGAAATCCAGCAGGCACGAAAAACTCATTTAAGAAGGATAAAACATAAATGCTTATTACTTAGGGAGTGCCCTAACTATATAATCTGTAGTCTGAAGGGGTTTGTGCTGATTTGTGTAAATTCAATGAATCCAATAGAAATAGGTAGAAGAATAGTAGTGTTTACATAGTGCATCATTTGAATCATGCAGCATATGAATATCTTGAATACTTCTGATAATCTTCCAAATTATTTTATCTTTACTGTAGGTTATTGGTACACCTCAGAGACCGTCAGCGCCAAATACTATCCTGGTAGGAAGTCCACATACACCTAACACACATTTTGTATCACAGAACCAGACTGGCGATTCTTCACCGTGGTCTGCTGGGTGAGCAAAATAAAAGTTACAAAGGATTAATACATTATTTGGAACTTCTGTTCTAAAGGTTAGCTGTGGCAGCGTATGTACTTCTCAGGCAAGCAGTGTGAGAGAGATGGTGTGTTGACCTTTCCATCCAGAGCACTTCAACATTAAAGTATATTAAGTGAAGAACAATTGCACAAGAATGAATACTCTATCATTTGTTATAAAAGGAATGAGAATATTTTCTGCAAGCACTGACAGATATTCTCACATTACTTACAGTTAGAGGATTTTGCTCCTAAAAGGACACATGAATTCATCCGATTTGATTTCAAGTTTTTAATTTGGCATTGCTATTTTGCTGGTTTATAAAAAAAAAAAAAAATGCAGTGCCTTTCAGATTGAACAAGTGTATAAAGTATTAGATAAAATGTATGCATTCTTTTGGTGTCTTTTCTCATGCAAGCTTGTTTTTAAGGGTCTCTTGTGACATGTTGTTTTTTTTAAGACTAAATTTATCACCAATGTCTTGTTATACATAAACAGATTTCTACTTTGGAATTGTACAGTGAAATGAGATGTAGAGAATTGAGAGAGGTTCCATTGCTTATGTTAATTTTGTTGATACTTACACTTTTCCTAAAGTTACAAGGAACTTTTTGTTGATAGTTACAGTTTTCCTGAAGTTACAGGGAACTTTTTATTTTAAAGATATGGAGAAAACTTTTATAGTTACTGTATTGTGTGACTGAAGTTTTCATAGCAGCTTCATATACTGTATAATTTCAGATCTGTATTTTGGTAATCATGTAATGTTCAGTGAGTTCAGCCAAATACTTTGACTGTTCAGTCAGTATCGGACGTATGCAAAAAGTGCTCAATCGATCTAAATTTTTTGTGGTCAACCTAGATGGGCTATTTAAAGTTATCTCCTGTAATTCACCTTTCGTATTTTAGCATTTATCCCTCTATTCCTTCCTTTTCTTGATTGGAAGATTAAAAGAGTTTTTTTTTATTGACTCCTTCAAGGAATATCCCTGTCATTTAAATTATCTGCTACTGGTGCTAGTGGAGTTGCCAAAAGAATGACTTTGTTCTGTCTTTCAGCATCGAGACACTAGAGTTGTTAATTTTTTGTAATTTGTAGGGGAAAACATTATAGGAAAAAGTGTTGGGAAGGGGTAAAAGCAGAACGAAAGGGAAAGCTTGGTTTTATACAGCAATGTGCCTGTATTTGAAAAAGAGACATTAAGTATTCCAAAGTTCAAATCATCTTAAAATATATATTATACGTATATTTAGGAAGCGGAACAAAAAAGGAGAGAAGAATGGCAAGGGTTTACGTCATTTCTCTATGAAGGTTTGTGAGAAGGTACAAAGAAAAGGAACCACCTCATACAATGAGGTGGCAGACGAGTTGGTTGCAGAATTCAGTACCACTGATAATCACATTTCACCAAATGAATCAGTAAGTATATGGGAGGTCAATTACACGTGAACTGAATGGGGGAAGAGAAATTTCTTTTGAGACTTCTGTATTTCTTTTCCTACTGCTAAATTAAACAGTTCAGACATTACCCAAGTTTACCTATTTACTGGGATATATTTATTTTCAAATATTTTTGCCGCAAGTATGTTTGATTAATGCACTATGTCTATAGCAGGCTTATGACCAGAAGAATATTAGACGACGTGTGTATGATGCCTTAAATGTCCTTATGGCCATGAACATTATCTCTAAGGAGAAGAAGGAAATCAAATGGATTGGTCTACCTACTAACTCGGCTCAGGAATGTCAGAATTTAGAGGTATATATATTAGGAAGTTCACAGTGGCATTGTGTCTGAGTAAATGTTTGCATCCTTAATTTGTTCTGATACAACAGAACATATTCTTGCTATCTCCTGAAATAGCAAGGTACAATAGTATGGTCCCTTTTGACTTTCTTGTTTGTAATTACAGAATACACATTTAAACTTCCAGATTGCTTAAATGTTTTCAGTTGTTTTATGGGGTTTTTTTAATTCTTCTGTGTCAGGAATACACTCTGTCATAGCTTTTAGAGTATATGTGAAGTAGAAGTTAATCAAACTGAAAGATTAATGTGTATTTCCAACATTGCAGTAGTGGTGCTCAAGAATTATGAAGATTTTCTCCAAATGCCAGACAAATAATACATCTGTGATGACAGATGTTGTATGTAGTTCACCATATCTGTATGCATTGCTGCTCCTTTATTGCTGCAGGTCTTATGTATTTATGACATTTGTCTTACATGAACATGTCAGACTTTTTTACTGCTTGTTTTGGGCAAGAAGTAAAATGTTTTATACTGAAAGGCGTAAGTTCTGGCAGGATTTTGGTTTTTGGTTTGTTGGGTTTTTTTTCTTTTAAATATCCTGAGATTTGCAGGATAGTAAAGTTCCTGAGGTTTACTGCAGTCAGTTCACTTCGTGAGAATAGAGTGAGACTTTGTATTTATTCTTAACAAGTGTAAATTCTTTTCAGAAGGACTAAAAAATAAGTGTAGAAGCTGACAAATTGAAAAAAGAAAAACCAAACCAAGCAAAAAATGTTTTGGAATCTACAAAGGGCTAATCTTTGGAGATTTTTGTTTGAATCTGATAATTGATATTTTGTTAGTACTCCAGTTGCTATGTAAATGAAGAAAATCCAGGGTACCTAATCAGTCTGAGTTTTATTTAAATATTTATCATCCCAAATGAAAATTATTAGTTGAGGGATTGATAACTGGGACATAAATAGTAGGGTGAGTATGGAGGGTGAAGTGGTTGGATGACCATGCTTTGTGCTGAACAGGGAGCCAGGTAGCTACAAGGATTTTAAAAGTAGATCTCTTTGGATCTGTTTCACAAAGTATGGCATTGCCAGTAATGTTGGAGCGGAAAAAGAAGCAGCATTGCTTATTCAGCTGGGTTTGATGTCCTGGTTGATAATGTCCTAAGGAAGAGTAGGATAGTATTAGTACTGGAGTAAAAAATGAACTTGAAATAAAATAGTGCACAGTGAAGGTTCATGTGTTTTAAGATGGGAGCAATGGTAACTTTTAATACCAAAGTGAGAATTTGTTAATTGGATGTTACAAGAGGAGGAAAGAGTTCTCTTAACTGTTGAATAATTGAGCAACAAATATAATATAACCTTGAAAATACCAAAAATCCTAAGATGTGTTGAGCTTACTTGAGGAAATATAACATGGGGGTTGTTTTTTGCTGTTTTTTCAACTGTGTACAATTCTGTTTTGTTTTTTTTCCACTGAAAACAGACAGAAAGCTTCATCCATGTGAATTTTTAACTCCAGTAATTTTCTTGTTATTTGCATATTTTAAGGACCTAAGAACAAAAGTTGATGTTCAGGCCCGCAGACTGTCTATCCACTGTCTTACCTGATGGTAGCAGTTACCTAGGAAGGAGTCTAAGATTAGAGAAAGTATTTAGTGATGTTGTCTCCTGTGACTTGTGGTTCAGGCATAACCTGAGGCAGATCTAATATCCTTCTATGTAACAGCCCTCAATCAATTTTTCTTTGTTTTACTTTGTGCGAGGTTTGCTTTTAGTATTGAGTCATTTGTGGCAGCGAGTTTCAGGTGCATTAGAATCTTCTTAGTCCCTGGCCTAATAATTCAAATTTTTGGCTGCTGGGATGTACTGAGCTGAATGTTTTTCTGGATGCTGTGATTTAAGATCTCTGTTGAATGTAATTTTATTTCTAAAATACACATGGATGGAATTATGTTTTTCTAACACAGACACATTACCAAAAATAATTTTGATGATGTAATCACTCAGTGCTACAAGACACTTTCAAGAGTGCTCTATGACGAGCTCTCTTATTATGCCAGATGACCCAGCATTCTCAGCAGATGCTGTCACCTTGCTCTTCATCCCCTTATTCTGATCCATGGTAATTTGAATAACAGTCTGTAAATTTAAGTCCTTATTGGAATCTGCTGGTGAGCTTCCTACACTGAGAAAGCTGTTTATTTCCTACCATTTTGTCTCCTATCTTTTATGGTATTACTTAGTATGTATTTAATACTGTGAAGACTTAACTCTTAACCTCGGGCTCCATAGCAACATCATTTCTTTTAAGCATCTTTTATGGATCTTCTTCAGTATCAGTAGACTAAATGAAGAGGCTCTTTGCCGCCTTGAATCTCGCTGTTTTTCTGAGGCGTGACTGCTGTTTGCAAAGATGTTTTTACCCTTTTCCAGATCTATTGTACTTTATTCCCCAGTGTTCCAGTGCTACTCTTTGTTACAGTAGTGCTGATGTGAGTCTTGATAGTTAGGTCTCTAAATTATCTGTAGAACATTAATGATTGACATCATGTGCCCTACCTCCAGTTCTCTGGTATTGAGATGATTTTAAGGGGAGAAAATGTTGATATAAAATGCTACTTAAAACCAACAAACCAGTCAAACTTTCTTCTGTCTTCAGGTGGAGAAACAGAGAAGACTTGAAAGGATAAAGCAAAAACAGTCTCAACTACAAGAACTCATTCTACAGGTACAGTCAAGGTACTCTTGTCTATAGGGCAAGGTAACTTATCTGTATTCATGTTGTTTTATCCCAGTAAGGGATGGGAAACTTCTAAGAGATGAATTTCAGGATAAGGCATATGAAGTCTTAATTTTGCACTGTAGTTTAGCTGGGACTGTGCTGTTGGCCATTGCTGTTGGGGAAGCCAGCAACTTTCCATGAGTGATGATAAATTATTTTGCAGTTTAAAGTATGTTGAAACAGGATTTATGCTGACAGGAGCTGTAATTCATACTCTACTCTATGAATTTTCCAGTTCAGTTCCTGCATCTAGAATGTTTTTTCTGTGCTAGAGTCCATAGGTAAAATTAGATGACTGTAGAGGCCATGTCTCATAACTCTCTGTGTCTTACCTTTCTGTGACATGATTACTTGTGCTGTGTAAGTAGCTTCACTGCTGTAAAACAGTTGCGGAGCTCCTTCCCCCTGGTGCGCTGTGTGATAGGAATGAGAATCTCAAAGAGAGTATGCAGAAAGAAGTACAGACAGCTGTGGGACAGCAATCTCAACAGCTGTCTGATTTTTATCAGCCTCTGTGATGGCTTTGGATTTCATTTTTAATTTGTGTTTATTTCAGTTGATTCCTTGACTAGAAAAATACTACTTCTTAGTTTGGTGCCTTACTGTAAGATTTATAACTTGAGTTTCAACGGTTAACTTGAATTTTAATTCCTATAATTGCCAATCTTTGAAAGATGAATATTACATTCTGAAAAGCAGTTTTGTTAAGATCTGAGAGTAAAGTCACTAATCTTCGCTGAGTAGTTTGGAAACCTAATGTCAGACATTCAAATTCCAAATGTTAACTGGCTTCTAGCATATAATTTCAGCAAAAATACAGTATTAATCATTTGACTGTTCTTGTGGAGTGCAGTAGCTAACAGGGAATGGTAAACAGAGTGAAGTAGGATGCTATATGAAAGTTCTTTTTCCTAGTTACTGTTATTTCTTTTTTGTCAAGGATCTGTCCAAGAAACTGTCCTGATGTAGTTACTAGAACATGCTTTTTTATTTTCAGTTAAGTTTTACTTTGTTGTATTTTTCAGTACTCCCATTTGTCTCTCTTCCTGCATTTTAACATGCAGGAATATGGTGATCACTCTGTCCTTTTCTGCATTTACTTGCTGCAACTATTTTCTGCATTTTGCTGGTATTCTTTATCTGAGGGATTTTGTTGTTAACAGGATCTTAAAGGTTCAATTCATACTTTTTGTATCACTTGCTTTTTCTAGCAAATTGCCTTCAAGAACCTCGTTCAACGAAACCGTCAAGCAGAACAACAGGCAAATCGACCGCCACCTTCCAATTCTGTCATCCATTTACCATTTATCATTGTGAACACCAGCAAGAAGACAGTGATTGACTGCAGTATTTCAAATGACAAGTGAGTTAAAGTTTTCTCTCAGGCTTTTGGTATAGCTATGAGTTTTATGTCCATACTAAAGTGTTCATCTAGATTTGTTAAAGATGAAATACAAATAAATTTACTTGTGCCTTTTGTAGATTGGGAACATGCAATTTCAGATGGAGTTTTGTAGAGCTTTTTAATAAATAGCATAATTGCATACATAGAATCATAGCATAGTTAGGGTTGGAAAGGACCTTACGATCATCTAGTTCCAACCCCCCGCCATGTGCCAGGACGCCCCACACTAGACCATGTTGCCTAAGGCTCTGTACAACCTGGCCTTGAATGCTAGGGATGGAGCATTCAGAACTTCCTTGGGCAACCTGTTCCAGTGCCTTACCACTCTCACAGTAAAGAACTTCTTCCTTATATCCAATCTGAACTTTCCCTGTTAAGTTTGAACCCATTACACCTTGTCCTATCACTGCAGTCCCTGATGAAGAGTCCCTCTCTGGCATCCTTGTAGGCCCCCTTCAGATACTGGAAAGCTGCTATGAGTTCTCCACGCAGCTTCTCTTCTCCGGGCTGAACAGCTCCAACTTTCTCAGCTGTCTTCATATTTAGTAAGTTTTTAAAGACATACTATGGATAGATGCTAGAAGCAAAATAAGGCAGCTGTGCTAAAGTTTTATATCATACATACACCAAGGAGTGTTTTCCTCTGACTTCAACACAACAAAATGCAGCTAGCAGAATTGAAAATGGATTTTGCTTTCAGAACTGCTGTCCTCTACTTCTGGTTCAAAAAGGTAGCTATTTCATCTGCTAAATAAATGCTGGATGTAGCAGTGTATTCTCCTTGCACTATTAGCTTACTAGAAAACCATAAAAACAGGGAAAAAAAAACCCCTCCCATTTGTCTTCCTACTGTGTAAAGAAAGAAATACCAGGCATGCAAAATGTTTAATTAAAACTCTGTATCTGTTAAACCTGTTAAAGATTTATATAGTGTTTATAATGACTGTTCTAGTTGCTTGCTGCCAAATACATATATCTTGAAAAATTTGATTGCTTAATGTGATGTATCACTAACACTGTGTGTTGAGATTTTGAAATGCTGCAATTCCTGAACCTAGAAAGATACTTAAAGTCATTGAAGCTAATTGAAATATTTTTTCCTCTCCAGATTTGAATATCTATTTAATTTTGACAATACTTTTGAAATTCATGATGACATAGAAGTACTAAAACGAATGGGAATGGCTTGTGGGCTAGAATCTGGAAGCTGTTCAGCAGAGGACCTAAAAATTGCAAGGAGTTTGGTTCCTAAAGCTCTGGAACCGTATGTGACAGGTCAGTTAATCCAAGAAGAGTTGTTTTGTTAATACAGGGCTGAAGTTAAAAACCAGTGTGAAAATATCTGAGATCAGTTAATTTAATTTCCACTGGTTTGTGATAAAGATTTCTAACAAGTTCTCAAAGAAAGACACTTCTTAGCATACCTTAGGGAACACATAACAGAGATTCATAGGTAATGGGCTGTTGCTCTTCACAGAACCATGTTTTGCATTATACCACAGAAGTAGATCTTTGCAGCGTGCAATTCATTTAAGAGAAGATTTATAGTTGATTTACCTGCAAAGGCAAATGGTAGTAAGTGTGAACATGGTCATGGCTTCATTTTATATTACTTTATTGTTTTCATTATATAAGCAGTACTGATGGCATCTGACTAGCTCTCTTCAAAATTAAATGGTTTTTTTTATGTAGTTTGAAATTTTGCTGTTGCACTAGCTCCTTGTTTTGTAATTATGCTGTTTTGGATATAGTGCATCAATATGTTTTGTTGGTTTGGTTGCAAGTCTCCTTTTTGGACTTTAAAAGGATGAAGCATTTGCCTGAATTACATGAGTTTTGAAGTATACTTGAAATACGTATTGTTCATTTTACAGAAATGGCTCAGGGATCAATCAGCAGTGTATATGTCACATCTTCATTAGGTTCTGCATCAAATGGCACAAGATTTTCAGCCAGGTGAGATGAAATTATTAATTAGATCTTAAAATCTGTGATCATCAAATAAGCTTAAGTAGAGGTTAAATACTTGATGAAATGCGTTCTGTTTTGATTAAATGTGGTGCGGGTATGTGTTTAAGTTTATTCTCAGACATCATTTTTACTTGAGTAGTAGTAGTTCTTAAATCTTGAATGTATTATTTTTGTTTGGTTTTGAGTTTGTGACAAGAAAATAGATACTTCCCTAAAGATATTATCTGGGCAAGATTCTCCATTGGTCATTACCGTCTAACTTAAAAAAGGTTCTTGGGTTTTAAGCAGTTTCAGAAGCTGGTAGAGTGATAAACTGCAACTTGTGTTTAGCTTTGTGTGGCTGTATGTAATTTCTGAGCTTGAATATTATTTTTCTCTTTCCTCTATGTAAGACACTTTTCCTTGGGTAGTCACTACTGGATAGACTCTTGGTGTTGCATTTATCAACAAGTTGTCATTGTTGATAAACGAGCTCTACTAAGTTGTAAAATGAGTTAAACATCATGTTTTTTCTTTAGTATATCCAACTAAACCTATCCTCTGTCTGAAACTGTTTCTTCTTGTCTGTCAGCTGCATGTGCTGGTAAAACAGTATAAGCTCCATTTAGTGCTGGAAGACTGCTATAGGGTCTCCCTCGAGCTTTCTCTTCTCCAGGCTAAAGGAGCCCAGCTGTCTCAGCCTGTCTCCATAGGAGAGGTGTTCCAACCCTCTGATCGTCTTCATGTCCCTTTTCTAGACCTGCTTTAGCAAGACAATGTCTGTCTTGTGTTGGGGGCCCCGAAGCTGGATGCAGTACTCAGAAGAGTAGAGTACAGGGAGAGAATCACCTCCCTGAACTTGCTGACCATGCTCCTTTTGATGCAGCCCAGGATACAGTCGGCTTTCTGGGCTGCAAGAGCACCTTGGCAGGTCATGTCCAGTTATTCATCCACCAGTATCTCCCAAGTCCTTCTCCACAGAGCTGCTCTCAATCCATTTATCCCCCAGTCAGTACTGATACCGGGGACTATGCTGATCCAGGTACAGGACCTTGCACTTGGCTTTGTTGAACTTCATGAGTTTCATGTGGGCCCGCTCCTTCTTCCCTCAGGTGTATCAGCAGCACCACTCTGCTTGGTGTCATCTGCAAACTTGCTGAGGGTGTGCTCAATCCCGCTGTTAGTCATTAATGAAGATATTAAATAGTGTTGGTGCCAGTATGGACTCCTGAGGGACACCACTCATTAGTGGTTTCCATTTGGACATGGAGCTGTTGACTGTAACTCTTTGGTCATGGCCATCATGCCTATTTCTTATCCATCAAACAGTCCATCTGTCAAACTTTCTCTCTCCAGTTGAGAGGTGAGAATGTTGTGAGGGACTGTATCAAAGGCCTTCCAGAAGCCCAGGTAGATTACTTCTGTACTTCTTCCCTTGTTCATTGATGCATTTACTGCATCATAGAAGGCCAGTGAATTGGTCAGGCACAATTTGGCCTTGGTGAAGCCATGCTGGCTGTCCATAATCACCTCCCTGTCTTTCATATATGTGTCAGCATAACTTCCAGAAGGACCTGTTCTATGATTTTAGTGGACACTGAGGTGAGCATGGAAAGGAGAGAGCAAGTTCTAGATTACTTCGTCTCTTTCTACAGCAATGAGTGTTTTATGTCAGAATCACTGGCAGGCTCTGCCTTGTAAAGTAGTTGGGAAATTGCTACACCATCAAAATTCTTAAGGAAGTCCTAATTTTTAGGCAGTTTAATCCATTTGTATTTAAAGGCAAAAATCCTGTATTGATGGGATTTCGTTAGACAAGGAATACAGCTTTATTCTTGTTCTCTAAAGATAATCTTCTGGCAGCTTTTTCTCTCCCACCTGCCTTCTGTCAGAGTTGGAAGGAGGTCTTTCTAAAGATATAGTATCTGGGTTACTTTGAAAGGATAATACAGTTATATTTATGAAAGCATTTTTTTTTTAAAAAACAAACAAACCACCCACCTATTTGTAGATGACAGGTTTACTTGAATGCAAAGAGGAAAAAAATAAAAAAAGAAATAACTTGAAATAGTTAAGCTCAGGGATGTGCAAGACTAGCGATGGTGAAGAGCGTGGTTTGTGCTCCAGCCCATTCCCACAGCCCGAAAGTGTGAGGAATTCATCCTGTTTTGTGCTAAGGAACTGAAGCTGAGTTGGGAATACTGCCAAAATACCTTTAAAGAAACAGAACTTAGTACATAAAATCTCCTGTTCTTACTGGGGTTCCTTCTGTGATAATGTGCATGGTGTTAGTGAAAAAGAGCCCATGTATTTTTAAAACTTTGAAATTTGAATAGGCCACTACTAGCCAGAGACCAGTAGAAAAATGAAGGCTGACTGTGGTTCATTTACTTGTTGAAAAGCATGAGAACTCCTTCTACCTCTGTTTCTCAGGAGGCTGGAAAAGGGGAGTGACAAATTATGTTTAATTATAGTACATATATAAATATTCATGGCAGTAGGAAACTACAAGATGTGTAGCTTTTCTGGTACTAAAGACTCTCAAAGAAAAGCTGTAGAAGACTGTAGATGTTGTTATTGATGCCGTCCTTCCAGTTCCTTCGTCTTGCTAAGAAGCTCAGGTTATGAAATTCAGTTACATCTTTACCCAGAAGAGGGGAGACAGCTTTTGGGGTTTGTACTTTCCAAGATCACGGGAACACACGAATAATTTTTTCTTTGTGCAGATAATTATGGAGAATATAAGTTACCTGACCACAGCTAGACAGGTATCTTAGTATCTTCCTTCTGAATAAGTGTGCAGAGCAGCAGAAGCTCTTGAAAGTGTCTCACTGGACATATGTTTTCCTTGTGAGCTTCTGGGGCAGTTTCATTCTGTGAGGTGACAGACTGTTGAATTAGCTCCATACAACAGTGTGCATGATAGATTATGTGCATCAGCTGGATCGAAAAATGACTAGCAAACATACTTGAAAGCAATTTTTAAATGATGAATGTCTTTCAAGTTGTACATACTAAAAATTGTCAAGAATTTGTGACCACGTTTGACAGAAAAGATTGGCAAAATAGCAAGTAATATTGGAGGCAGGAATGTTCTCGTTCTTAAAATAAAATGCCTCTGGATACAGTTAACTCATCCAGGAACAAGAGCTTTCAGACCATATTTACAGTACGTGTTTGTATTTTGGTGGAAAAAGAACACATTCAAGTAAGAAAATAGATACTTTCCAAATCTATTTGCTGATCCAGGAGATGGATTTTCAGTGTGGGTGGGTTTTCAGTGTAGATAGATTTCTACAGAGGGAAAACCAGAAGATGCCAAAGAAGGTGGTTATTTTTTGCTTGGGGAGTGTTGGTTGTGGTTGGGGTTTTTGGGTTGGTGGGGTTTTTTTGTTAGATTTTTGTTGTTGTTGTACAGTTTTGTTGGTTGTTGTGGGGTTTTTTTAACTAGGAAGGTATGAAAAGAAAACAAATTCAAGTTAAAAATACAGCACATGTAGCAATGATAGTTTGCCTTGTAATAACAAAGAATTAAGGAGGAGCTATTGATACTCAATTTTCCAAGTCTTTTGAGTCAAGATTAGTGCTTCTTAAAGATATATTCACTTGTGATGCAAGTGTCCAGTGCTAATTAAATATAGTAAAGGGCTTAGATAGTTCTGTAGCCTTAGCACTAAATGTACTTTAGAAGTAACCTGGAAAGCATACTTCTAAGGAATCTGTGAAAGACTTTAATCTTTATATTAAACCTAAGGGAAGAAATACAATAAGAACCATTTCAAAATTGCTTAAACTGTTTCTGCTTTTGAGAAATAACAGACATCTTCAGTACAGTTTATAAAGTAGCAATGGCAGATTCATTAAAGGAACAGAATAGATGCGCGATTATATTTAAGAGCACAGTAAACTGGGAAAAATCATTAAGCAATGCCAGTTGGCCTAAGTTTTTTATTATTATTGTTTTTTTCCTTCAGTGACTTTTCCAATGGTGGAGATGGGATGTTGGCTACAAGTTCCAATGGATCTCAGTACAGTGGCTCCAGAGTTGAAACACCAGTTTCTTATGTTGGGGATGATGATGACGACGACGACGATTTTAATGAAAATGATGATGACGACTGATGCCCTTTGCTTGTAGACTATTTTTTGTTAAAATTCAGCAAGCTTCAGGAATAAATTGTTCTAGGGAGAAGTGTCTCAAATTACTTTGCCCCATCCCTCAAGGAGAATATTGGTAAGCAGTTCTAAGTTTAGAAATTGCACCTCTGATAAGCAAACAAGGATTGTTTTATGTAGGATATTTTTAAATGTGGTGTGGACGTGTGTTTTTGATACCAGTGTGTTAATGCAGAGCCTTTATTTACTCTTGTTTTAGGGATTTTTGGTTTGCTGGTTGTTTTATGTTTGTTTTGGGTTTGCTTTTTTTTTTACTTGAAGGAAAATGGATTTTGCCCCAAATGTTCTTGCGAAGTTTGCTAAAGAAAATGTAGACACATCATTGAGAAATAAAATGCTATCCTTCTGTGGAAAATGAATACACTGAATGGCAATTTATTTGGAGTGTATTTTGATGATGCCACTTTTGGAGGGATAGTGAGCTAATGTAGTAGTGTTTTTTGTTAATCACGCAGTGTCCAAAGAACCAAACAAGAAAGATACGTCCTACTTTTTTACATGTTAAATTCCAGAAATGTTGTTGTGAACTTATTTTCCCTTAAATTATATCTAACATGATGATTCCGTCAAGTTTATATGCTTTTCACTGTATGTTGGGACATATGAATAACAAAGTTTTTGGCAAATGTTTACTGCCAGTTGGTGCAGCTATATAAAATGTCTTGAAGGTTTGGAATGATTTATTGCTTATGGTAAAATTTGCCTGATTTCTTACAGGCAGACTTTGGAAACTTTTTATTATATAGTTGTTTACATACTTATAAGTCTATCATATAAAGACATGTACTGAAACAAATGTTTGTATTTGTTTCATAAGCATCTTCCTGTAATCTATTATAAAGTTGAAATTAAATATAGAGAATGTTTTAAGTTTTTTAACTCAAAATTTGTCAATCATTTTTAATAGTTCATTTTTATAAAAGGAATTTCAGGGCAGGTGGTAGTCTTTTTGAATTTATTCACAAACAATTAACTGCACAAGTACTGTCAGCTGCCTATTCTAAGACAGTAGTCTTTTTATTGAAACACAAATAAACTTTTCTGTAATATTTTATGGAATATAAAGAGACTATAATTGTTTGACTTGTTTAACCTTGGCACTGTTAGTTTTTATTAATAAAACGCGCATGGGCATTTTTAACAAGCTCTGTGGTTTTTCTAATTCTAGGGTTATTTTAGAACATTTTACTTCCTCTCATCACAAGACCTAGAACTAACTGTCTCAGGGTGCTGCATCTACACTACAGAGGGCCCAGATTTTGTGCTTTGATACAGGAATTTGTCCTTAAAGCTCTTGGTAACTTAGGATATCTTTCCCTGCATACTCTCTTCTTTCATGTCTCTTTACTTCAATCATGTCACTACTCAGCATGACAGGCCAGTCTTAGTACTCCCGTCCAGCTTCTCTGTTTAAAATCCCAGGCTTACTATCCTAACTTTTCATCCCATGTTCCTCAATCCGGGCTTTCCATCGTACATTCCCATGTCCTTAAAACAAGTCTTCATCTGCTTTCTATATATTTCACCTTCACCTAAACATTTTTTGCTCTGTACTCACCTGAAAGTGCATCTTACAAACTGGCCCAGTCACTCTGCAGGTGGCTGTCAGTCAAGACTTGTTGCTTCCACAAACTCCGGGGAGTTGCTCAGAGGTAACTTACAGTCTAATAACTGCACTGTCTGTGATTAGGGATCCTGGATGCACTTAAACCCTGTGGTAAATATGAAGTATGTTACATGTGGCTTTTTTCTCTGAGGGACTGTGTCTGGACTTGTCTTACCACCCTTCTGTGGTAAGGGGGTGTGGGCGCTTACTACAGAGCAGTTGATACGCAGTGAATGCTTTTTAATTATATCAAACCTTGTAATATGAATGAAACAAGCAAATTACTTAATTTTATGGGCCTGGGAAAACCATTTGGTGGGAGCTAATTGCATGCTTGGCTTCTCACCAAAGATGTCATTCTTTGCAGTGCTAGAAGCAAGGTTCTCATCATGGTTGAATCAGCTGATTCAAATTGCTTTTGCTGTTGAATGGCATTTCTCTCTGCAGAGTCGAACAGTAGTTATCAAGGAATTTTTGACAGGCCATGGGGATTATTTTTTTCCCTTACATCCTAAATCTCCATTGTATGGTCAAAGATTTACCTGCAAAGAGGAATACAGGGGTGCTAGGTAAGAAAAGCTGCAAGCATCTAGCAGTTTCTTTTTGTTGTTTATTAGTGGAATAGATCTCAGATGAGACAAGGTCAAGTTGGGGAGTGAAAGTGTGGCAAAACATATGTTTTCAAAGACATTACTTTGCTTTTGGTTGCTGATGAATCTCTGAAATGGGATTTGAGAGTTTAACCAAACAGCATTGGAGTGGTTTTGGAGAACAGATCTAATTATATTTATGGTTGGACTTAATCTTAAAGGTCTTTTCCAACTTAAATGATTCTATGGTTCTATATTACCTTGATTTCAGGAGAGTATTCTGGTAAAGGTGACTACCAGTAACAAGAGAAAGTCTATTGAATTTTTGATTACTTGATAGATTCAGGTAGTTACCTGGTCATTGTGTTTAGGTGAAAAAGGAGGGTGAGGAGGGAGAAAAGAGACTAATGGTGAGGAAGGGGGTGGAAATGAGGAAAGACTTCAAGGAGACTCTTAATAAGTAGTAGGAAGGAACCAGAAAAGAAAGAACAGATGGAAACTTAGTTTTCACAGAGGGAAGAGGTGAAGGTGGGAAGAAGTAATGCAAGAAAAAAAAGACTAGTCAAAGACTACAAAAAAAGACGACTAGTAGAAACTTTATTCAAACAGGAAAAAAAAAGGAGTGGAGCAAAGAACTGTGTAATACAGATGTAATAATGCCAGGCCTGGCGTGACAGGAGCTGGAAGGTAGGAGATAACTACATGGTTCTTATCTCTGAGAAGTGTGACACCATGGGTACAGATGGAAAAGGAAGATCAAAAGCAGGAACAGAATGACAGAGGAAGTCATGGACAGGAAATTGTTGAGAAAATCTGTGGAAGTAGGAAATACTGCAAAGAGAGAGAAATTAGAATTCAGTTTAAGGAAGATTAAATGATGGTAAAGGTAATGAGAATAGTAATAAGGGCTCAGTTTGGGAGAAAAAACCTGGCAAGGAAAGGATGTACTGTTGTCTCTTAATTTGCCAGTACTTTTTGTGATCTGAAGAAGAGGAAAAGTTGCAAAGTGTGTATTTGTATCTCTGAAATGGTTCTGCAGATAACTCCTGGGAACGTGTGTATTTCACTGTTTTTTTAAAGTGATACTGAGCTTTGAAAGACTGTGCCTCCATTTTGACGTGTAACAAGCTAAGAAGGATTTCTTGGGTTTTTTCTTTCAAAAGTAAACTGGTTTGCTTTTTCTTCAGGAATTTGCTTGTCTTAACTAAAGAAAAGCAAGTGTGACTTTGGAAACTTCTTTTAAATCTTCCTTCAATGAAAGGCAACCATTGCAGAGAAGAAAAAATCAGTGGAGCTGATAAGGGACAGGTCTTTGAAGATGACCTTTTATTAAATTGTTCATAGATGGAGGTAATTGTAACAAGATAAATCTGTTTCTTTATCAGTGAACACATGATACCTTGTGAAATCTTCACATTAATAGGAAATCTGAAAATAGGAGGCTTAAGATAAAAAAGGAGCGGGGAGAAAGCATTGATGTAGTAATACTGGAATGATCATCAGTAGAAAGGAAAATATATACAGTTTTTTCCAGATAGTTCATTGCTTCCTGTAGGGATTTGTTTTCTCTCATCTGCTTATAAGAGTGCTATTTATCTTGACTACTACACTGAGTTAAGATCTTTCAGCTCTTCTCAGATCCATCTGGTTCCAGAACGATGTGAATATCCTCACAGGTGCTTTATTGTTAAAGCCTTGCTTGTTTTACTTTAATTGTCATTCATTATCAGCAAATACTTGAATTGTCATTCACTTATCAACAAGCCAGCACAATGAGAGCAGCAACTTTGAATGTAAATTTGGGATTTTTCAAAGGTTATTCTTGGGCTCTGATTCCTCCTTGAGCTTCTGTGGATTATGGAGGGTTACCAAAATGCTCAGGGGCCCAGAGCAGTTGCTATATGAGGAGGGGCTAAGGGAGAAAGAGTTGTTAAGCCTGAAGAAAAGGTGGTCTCAAGAGACCTTATGGCAGCTTTTCAGTACCTCAAGCAGGTTATTGCAAAGATGGAGTCAATCCACAGTGATGCCTGGTGGGAGGATGAGAGACAACATACACAAGATGAAACAAGATTATTTCCATCGGAGTCAAACTGTGGAACAGGTTTCCCAGAGGAGTTATGCTGACTTAGGGTTTTCAAGACTAGCCAGGGTAAAAGCCCTGAGCAATGAAGAGTCTGACCTCACAGCTGCCCGTGTTTTGAGCAGGGATGGACTAGAGATGATCTGGGATGCTTTCCAGCCTGAATTACCATACAGATCCCATAAAAGAGATGAAAAGAAAACAAAAAACATGCTAGAAATATCATATATCAGTGTCATGAACAGACTAACAAGTGGGTCATCTGGATTGCCTGCAAAGACTCAGCAGAAAAAGAATGGAAGCTCAGCTCATATTCAGAACCTGTCAAAAGTTGCTGAACTCCTATGATAGAAAAGGTAGCTAGATGAGGGGATAGAAGTGAAGACTTGTCTTCCTTTAAGATGAGAGTTCTAAAAAGCAGAAACACAACTGATGCTGAAAGGAGAATGAAGAAGGGCAACAACTGACATGCACAGGGGTTTCCTGCTTCCAACATTTGGTTAATACTGGTAGTTCTCATCTGGCATCGTGATGGTTGTCACTTAGCTGCATCTGCCTGTCACTCAGCTGGGGAGCTGCTGTGCCCAGGGAGACATTCAAAGTACATCAGTCCTAACAAGTGAAACATTTGTCACAGAAAATCGTGATTATTGATTCACAGCTTTGCTGTGATAAGGGCATAATATCCTGATACAGCAGAGAATAGAGACTGGTGTTAATCGGAAATCACCTTTACAAGTACTTTTCTTTGTTCTGCTATGACTTCTTCTGTTAATTCAATTTTTGGATGTTTTGAATGGGTTGAAACCCAAACTTAGGCTCAAAGATTTGAGCATTTAACACATCACTGTGTACAGATCATGGTACATCGCTCTAAGTAGTGCATTGATACCAGCCCTGATCTAGCAAGAGGGCTGCTTGGAGCAGAATGGAAAGTTTCTGCATTGTAGCACGTTAAAAGACAGGGAAGTTGCAGATTTGGGGCAAGCTTTGTGTTCTTTTATCGTGTGAACTTGAGAGAGTGTGTCAGAGTAGAACATTGAGCAGATACTGAAGCTTAACGCTCTTGAAACAGAACCCAGGTAGTTGATGCTAGGCAGGGTGGATCTTTATCTTTCCAATGCTGATTCTTAATGAACCTTGAAAATAATGACTTCTTAAAGATTAAAATAACGCTTGAGTGCCACTTTTCAAAGTGATGTGAGAAAGTACTGTCCAAATGTGGTCTAGACAGCTTGAGATCAGCTCTAAACCTCACTACAAAACCTGTTGAAGGAAACAGCTAAAAGAAAATTAAAGGCGTGGAAGGTTAAGTACTGACGATAAACTACAGAATAGGTCACATCAAATTAATGTGGGAGGAGATGGCAACTTTTTAGCCAATTAAGGAAATTATGGATATGTTTCAACATACTTAAGCCTTTTCTAATTCCTTGCATTTTGATTTTAAGTATGCTACGAACTGTTTACTGCTGAATCAAAGATAGGTTTTGTGGCATTACCACTGCCTGAATAGCTGCATCAGGTAAGATTGTACTTCTGTTTAATGTTTTTTTTAATATACCAGAAGAAAAGCAAAAATGCTTTTAAATTATATTGGTTAGAAAAGAAGTGAACTGTGAAAAGGACAGATTAATGTGGATTACTTGGCAAGCAGGGCATGTCCAAAAAATGTTATGGTTAAACTACACATCTTTTGAATAAAGTATTCAAGCTACATGTACAGGAGGTAAGACTATATGCTGAAAATATAGGATCCTAAAAATGACCTGGGTGTCAAGGTGGACAAGACCTGCATATGTCTTCTACGTGGTGTTCAAAGGATCGAGCTCATCTCATTTTAGATGTATAGATAAAACTCATAA